CGTTTTCTTGCAAATGCCAGCTCAAGGGCTGAGTGCTTCTGCACCAGTCCTTCTTGAAAGGTTGCTGTTTGTTCTAGGCCCACCGCACCACACCACTTCACACCTCACCGCATCACATCGCATTACACCACACCACAGCACACCACACCACAACACATTGCATCACAACATATCCCATCCCGCCATCCCGCCATACCACATCACAACACGACAAGTCGCATCACAACACAACGCATCACAAGACAACATCACATCGCATCAACACACATGAACCCAAATCACACCAGATCGCAACACAGCACACTACATCACATGACAAGACATCGCGTCTGATTGCAGCACATGACATCACACCACACCACACCAGATCACATCACGGCACATAAAACCACAACACATCACATAAGATGACATGGCGCCAAAACACATCACATCACACCCATCACATCACACTACACCACACCACATCACGTGACATCGCACCGCATCACTTTATGCCACATTGCAACACATCACATCACATGGCATCGCAGGGCAGCAACACAAATCATATCACAGCAAACCACACCGCACAACATCACAACACAACATATGACGCCGCAACCCATCACAGCACAGCACATCACAACACAACACATCACCACATCACATGACAACATCATATCACATCAAAACACATCACGTCGCCGTCACACCACGTCACACTACATCACATCAAATCACATCATGCACCGCACCGCATCACGGCAAATGAAACCACACCGCGCCGCATCACGGCGCAGCGCAACACACCACATCACATCACATCACAGCACGTCACGGCACAAGCACACACACACACATCACATCACAGCACAACACATCACATGACTGTTTGTACCTCCTGGTAGGGGAAGACCCTATACATGAACATTCCCAAGCTCAGGAAAACTCAGCACTGGACCCTGTCAACTCCAAAAAAACTCGAATAGTTCCATCTTCAGAACTCAAGGCCCAACAGCAGCACGCCCCTTGGTAAAATGATCTGTTTGCTGTCTCCCTAGGCCCAAACTAAGCAAAATCAAGCTTGATCAAAAACACAGTGCTGGTCAGATCTGATCAGGTTTGATCAGGTCTGATCAGATTTGATCGGCCTGGTCAGATTTGATCTGATTTGGTTTTGCTTGGTCCCAACCCCAAACCAACGAACATGAAGCCTGATCAAATCTGATCAAGACACGGCTTTGGTCAGACTTGATCAGGATGCGCTAAGACTTGATTTTGCTTGGTCCAAACGCAGCTAGGCAGCAAACAGCTCATTGGCTAAGGGAAGTCCTTTTGTTTGTGGTGCCTTTTTTCCAGGCAAAGCGCATCGCGACGCAACGCATCACATCCACACATCACACCACACCACACCACACCACATCACGTTACAGCGTACCACATCTTGACACACCACATCACATCACACCACAGCTCATCACGTCGCAGCAACATATCACATTGCAGCACATTATAGCATCGCATCACACCGCATCACATCACGTCACACCGCATCACATCACACCGCATCACACCCACACCCCCTCACATCACACCAATTAAATAATACCGCACCGCATCACATCACATCACAGCACATACTACACATCACACCGCATCACATCACAGCGCATACCACACATCACAGGCAAAGTGAGGGCTCAAAAACCCGGTCCAACACCGTTCATTTGCAAGGCTCCAATCTTTGAATGTCACGAAAATTGTTTCTGCCTGTTGGTGGGAGGGCGGCAAAATACAAAGTGGATAGCACAGGCAATTTAACAAAAACAACTTGTCCATTGGCGAGAAGGCAGTTTTCGAAAAGCTTGGATGTTTGATCAGCCTGGATGTGCTGCGCTGTGATGCGATGGGGTGTCACGTGGTGTTATGAAATCATGAAATTGAGTGGCAGGCCGACATGGCCACCCTGGCGCGCTGTCCAGGATTTTGCACATCCTTCATGATACACTTTGGCCTTTACCAGGCTCACAGCCCGTTGGTTCAATGATTCCAAGCAAAACTATTCCTTTTGTGTGCCAAGAAGCAGTGGCGACTGCTCCAGCCAAGCGTTCTTAGCAGGAAGGGCTTAGTTTGGAGATGCAAGTTTTAGGGTAGTGCCTGGTGCAAACGGGCTTCTGATGGGCGAAGCTTGGGTGCCTGCAGGCACATTTCCCACAAACATGCGACCCAAGCGTGCCTCATTTGGCTGAGCGAGAACGGCTAGCCTGCAGCGAGTGGCGCAACTTGCTGTTACACAAAAATGGTTCCAACCTCGATGTTCATAGTAAGGCTGCCAAAGGAAACTATTGTTTTGATCCACAAAACCTGAAGGGCGACGGGCAATGCTGCACCTTGCGCCACTACCAACTGGGACGTTTCACATTGTCTGTGCTCCATGGCCTTGCAGATTGAAGACCCAAAAGCCTGGCGCAAAGCATCATAGCCGTTGGCTATTGAAGGTCTCCATGTGCTAGCCCACAGGGTAGGGCAGGAGTGGCCACCAGGACATGATCAGGCCTCAAGTTGCCAAAAGCAGTCCTTGACATCCCTGGGCTGCAGCCTCTCACACGCATGGGGCATTCGTTTTGAAAAGCGGGCAAGCCCAGGCCTGCTAAAAAGAAAAGGCACACGAGAAAGGCCAAACACTGCGAGCAAAATGGCCGAGCGCCCATGAGCAAATGTGCCTGGCTATGGCCACAACATGTGGATCAATTCAGGGCCTTTCTTTCGGCCAGGCCAAAGGCAAAACCCTAGATACCCACCAAACCCCCCAACCAATGGAACACAGAATTATATATATATATACATATTCTTCCTTAAGCCACCGGAAGCTGGCGCATGCCGAGCTGCTGCAAGGCTTTGCCGTGGCGCCGCTGCAGCAACGCTGCCTTCTGGCGCTTGGAAAACGCGCGCCAGCAGGCCTCAGCCCAGCGCCTGGCGCTAAAGCTGAGAGGCATCAAGGCGCGGACAAACGGAGCTCGGTGTCTTCGGCATCCGAAAAAAACGCCCGAGAAGCGAGAAAACAAACGAGGGACACCACCCCCCCCCCCCACAAAAAAAGCTAGATGTGCTTGTGTTTCTTTCAAAAAAACAACCCAACAAAACAACACAACTTCGATGCATGTGATTCCGGTTGTGTTTGTGTGTGTGTGCTTGGCTGTGTGCAGATTCTTGTATGATTGTGCTGTGTTGCTTGACAACTATAAGGAACCCATGGTAGATAGGAGCTTTACTATCCCTTGGCTAACATGCAACCCTAACCTGAATGTGTTCTTTGTTCATTTTAGGGGCAAAGATGTAAGATGTTGCCCGTTGACGTGCTTATGACCCCCCCCCCCCCCAGGAAAAATGCCTCATGTTTCAAGCAGGCACAGATCCCAGGAAAACTGACACATAAATCAAGTAGGGAGATTAGGTCCTCCAGTAGAGAGGTTAGAATAAGGGTACCCTTTTTCCGTTGTCTATTCTACTAGGGGGAACCCTCCCCCCAACAAAAAGTTGGAAAAAGGGCACCCAGCTGGGGGACCTAGGTGATAGATCCGGGTTGCAAACCGACGTGGGCAAATGCTGCCACACAAAAAAAAAATCAGCGGCTGGGCCAAGCCACTTTGCAAACGCTCGGTTTTTCGGCCTCGAACAAGGTGTTGGCTACTGCCAAGAGCTCTGCAAGGCCATTTTCTGGAAGTCGCCCCGGGCAGCGGACCGAAGGGATCCCGCCTGGTTCTCTGAAGCTGTGGGAGCAGCCCAGCCTCGCTGTCCAGCAAGTGCTGCAACTGATCCGCCTCAATCCGGCGAGGCACCCCGGGCCATTTCTCTTTTCGGCAGTTTCCGGTGTCCACCTTGCCTCTTTCCGGTTTTGGGAGGATCCATATTCATCCAGATGTTATCTCTTTCCGGTTTACCGGCTTCCTTCCAAGTAAGATTATGGCCTGAAGGACTTGTTTGGAACCAGATCAAGGGGGAGGGCTTGGGGAGGGACATTGCTTGGATCCTGAAATGGAGAGATCCCAGCAGCATCCGCATAAAAACGTGCCTATCACCTTCCCCCCGAATTGGTAGCTTGCTCGTTTGGATGGCGACCTGCTCAGTTTTGGCTTCGAAAGGGCTTCAAATCCCGAACCTCCCAGCCAAGCCAAAGGGGAACATACCGTGGATGGTTGCGAAATCCATTTCACACCACCGAAGCAACCATGGTTGACACCATTGCCGTTGGTATCTACAGGGGAATCAACATTCCAGAGTTTCTTAGGTGGTGCAGGATTTCGTCCATCCACAGTAGGGTAATCTGAAGTGGGGCAACATATTTCCAAACGCTTTGCGCACGACCCGACACAAACAGACGTCCTCTACCTGAGGTCTATGCACTCCAAGAAGCCTCGGAACTCCTTCCTTGGTTTGTAAGCACCCTGTGGACGGTTGAAATCGAAATCCGAGACCGCGCTTTGAAATGACACCATGGTTGAAAGCACAACGTTCGTTGGCAGTTACAGGAGGAATCGAATCATTCCAGGGTTTCTTAGGTGGTCCAGGATGTCGTCCAACAGTAGGTTGCATAGGAAGTATATTTGGAGACTTCGTGCTGTCACACCAGGCTCCATGTTGCTCCGCCAAACTTACAAGCTTTGCCTGGGCTTGGCCGAAATGAGTTAGCCGGCAAGTCGAACCTCCCTAGCCCTTGAGAGAGGCTTAAGAAACCTAGCTTTGGGTTGCCAAAACCAAGGGTTTGGGCCCACTTCCTATAAAAATCATTACCCTTTTTGTCTTGCACGATTTGCTTGGTCAACGTTCAACTTGATAGGATTTAGATATGTTCTGGGTTCTTCCGTTCAGGCAAATGTGTAAGATGGTTCCTCACATTGACCTCGGGCCAACTCAAGGGGCAGTGTGATTCGGAATTCGTTTCTGCATGCCGCGGCACCACAAGCGCCAGCAGAGCCCGGTCGCCTTTCAGGTCAAGGAAGGTAAAATAGATGTACAGCTCAGCCACCTGCCAGTGACCCTCAGCGCTGGCAGGGACGACACATATTTCTACAATGTGACCCACTTCTATAGACACAATTCCTCACCAGCATATATATATATAAATGTCTACATATGGTTTCAGCTGGACTAAGCGAGACCTGGCCACATAGGGAGTGGTTCCCGGCAATCTAACTTCCTCCGGGGGGTGGGGTCTCTCAGGTATCATGTTGTCCCTAAACTGGGGTCGCCTAGGCCAAACCCAGTTCTCTCTCGTTCCGAGTTCGGACTTTTGATTGGTATAGCCCTTGGTGGCTACCAACGTGGCCCTTCGCGCTCAGCCCTGCGTAGCCTTTGGCCGTTTTGGTCGCCCTCGCTCGCCCTTGCTCGCCCTTGGTCCCCCTCTTGGTTGACGTTGGGTTTGGGGAGCAAAAAACTTCGAATTTCAGCAGATAAGTGGATTTGGATTTCAACCACTAAACCACCATAAGCAAAAATGGGAAAACATGCTTCCCAACGACTCGCCCATGTCCTAGGGACTCGAGGAAACGGAAACGGAGCGCGATCGGAGCGCGCCTCGGTGTACCATTCGCTGAAGGCCTCCGCGCACGTTGCAAGAGGAGCCAATGGCACCAGCCACCGGGATCCGAGGCCCCCCCTTTCTTTTGGGGCCCAGAGGTGAAAGGTGCAAACCCCAATGTGAGGAAACCAGCAGGCCTGGTGGGGAAAGCCCCCCCAAAAGCGGGGGAATTGAAGGGTCAGAGAAGATCGGTCTCGCTTCGTGCGAGTGAGACATTGAAACCACAACCTGCATGTTTTGATATGTTTTGGTTTGCCTTCCGGCAAACGGGAAAATGAAGGGTCGACCCCGAACGAGTGTAGAAGCTCCGGTGTATGGACGAAATCCGTCCAAAGCACCACCTAATAACCCCTGGAATGATGATTCCCTCTAAACCAATTCGTAATGGTTTCCCATAGTTTCAAAGTGGTGCAGGATTTGGTCCATTCACAGCACGATCCGGCAATTGCCTTGAACCACCCAGCTTCTAGTCACATCCGGAGCCCAGGAGAAAAAACAAACTGCAACCACCCTGTTGGCATCTCTATGATTGGTATTCAAAAGAAACCATCAGTGCTCTAAGGGTTGATTTCCATTTCTCTTCACCCATGGTTCTTTCTTGGGAAACCACCCATGTTCCGCGGGGCTGTGGCAACCATTTGGAGAGAGTCATCCCAATGGAATCGGAACACACGGCTAGAATCTGATGCCATCGCCAAAATTGAATCTGGGCCATGGGTATGGCCAAATCCAAATGCCCATGCATGCACTATCCCCTGCTGAACATACTAGGAAACGGCCAAAGCAACAGACTAATCCTCCATCTGCCTAAGGCCCCCCGCCAAAAAAGAGGATTATAGAGCAAAGAGCGGCATACTCATCCTCCGGATGCTGAAGTTGCCAGGAAAATAGAAGCATTCTTAAGCTACATTCGAAGTCACTGCATCAACTTGGCTTCTGCAGAGAGGGTAGGTCCGCCACTAGAGAGCTCAGAATAAGGTAGCCTTTTTTGTTTCTGCAGTCTCTTTTGCGGCCAAAAAAGGAAAGGGTCAAAGGGCACCGGGTGACCTAGGTGGGATCCCACCAGCCCCGTGCCAAGGGGCTGCCATGTCGCTTTTCAGCACTTCGCTCCCGGACAGCGAGTCTCCTGGGAAGCCAAGGCCGCCCAAACGGATCTGGATCTGGATTGGGTCTCCGTCTCTCTGGTCAAAGAAACGCCCAAAGCAAGCCACCCAAAGAACACCAACCATCTTGGGAGCCCGCTATTTTTGAGACAAGCCCAGATCTGCAGGGTGGCTGGCACAAGTCCAATCCAGTTTGGCTTAGTCACCCCCAGTACTTGTGCACCCCAATGAAACTACACCAAACTGCAATGGTGGATGTAAACGAGGGAAAAAAAAAAACCGTCCTCTTGTGAGCAGGACCTGACGTCGCGAGTGCAGAGTGAGTCAATCCACTACAATAATAAGTAACCATGCCCAAACAACTTGCTGGTGCGACAAGCAGAAAATGAGAAATGGAATGACCCCTATAAACCATCCCTTATGGTTTCCTTTAAGTGACTCCTGGGTTCATTCGCTCATTCCCTACCGCACCAGCAAAACCACCTGTTTACCTGCAGTGCCTGGAAGCGCTAGGATCCCCCATGCCCACATCTACCGGTGCTCGGGGACCAGGGCTCGGGTCAAATGTCCCAACACGTGGTGAATAGAACCGCCCTGAAAAGTTGCTGCTCTTTTTCTACAGGCCCCCCCCAAATTGTTGCCTCCTTACACATCTCCCCTCATTGCTGGCCCAAAACGCGGCTTTGACCACAAAGAGGAACAACCACCTGGGACCCTTCTGTTCAATCTGAGATTTCGTGCTTGTCGCTCTGGGGGGGGGGGCACCAACATTTCGGGCTTCCCTGTGTGGCTTCCCTCTAAACGTCACCAAACCAAGGCGCCAACCTAAAGAAGAAAAAACAAAACGAGCAGCCCCACGGAGCGTAGCTCCGGCTTCGGCCCTCCTCGTTTGCCAAAGGCGTCGATCTCGGAGAGCACCTGACGCGATCAAAAGGGCTCGCCGGGAGTCTCCAAGGCGCGCATCGGTTTTCCGAGCTACCTGGAGTCATGACCCTAAAAGTGGGGTCGCTAGCCCAAATACAGGGGTGACCCCACGTTTAAATCATGGCTCTAGGTACGCCCTTGCCGATTTGAAGGAATACCCCTCACTGGGCTGTCCGTTTTTAGATGCGCTAAAAGCGAATGACTGTTCGTGGCTCAAGTGGAAACCCAACCACGAAACCAACTGAAAATCAAACACAACCTTACCCCTAAACTCCCTTCCCTGGGGAAGTTGGTCTTTTACAGACATATAGCCCATGTTACCCAAAAAGTTGAGAAACGTTGTGTTTTTTACGAGGTAAGACTAAGGGGACGGCTGGGAACCGGAGAACCGCCAAGGAAAAACCGCGCTGCCGCCTGGAAGCCTCCCGTTTTCTCCGCTTGCTCGCAACGCGTTCCAAATCGATGGCCCCCTGCTCGGTTGCTCGCTTTTCCCCCAAAAAAATACGCCTTTCAAGTGGGCCCATGCGTGTTCTCAACATAACCCTCCCAATCACAGGCTCAAGGAAAGCACCCCAAAAGCAAACTTGAGAACCCCTCAACGTGTTTACCGTGAGCAAACCGAAGAACATGCAAACATACACGCTGGGCGGGTCCTTTTTTTTGCGGTTCTCGTGTGTGCGTGTGGCAGGCTTCCCATTGTGAATACCATCCGCATTGGTGTGTTCCAGAAATAATACAGACCGCGGAGAATAAAACCCTCGATTGTTACGAGGGACAAACCTGATTCATAACTTATTGTTTATGACCAATGTAAGTGAGGGCAAACATTCCATGGACAGCGGACTTGTAACAGGGTAAACAATTCACTTCCGGCAAAGGTTTCTAGATTCCTGAACGACTTACTGCGTCCCAGCTGATTGCCCAGTCGACAAAGGGCACAATTTCTGTTTTTGGGGTTGACCATCTTGAGCAAAAACCAAAGCCGACTCCCCGCGCCTTAGAAAATATTAGTAGAACGTTCTTAGCAATGAGTTCCTGAAAGCGGTTTTCCGGGTTTTCTAAGCCCCAACATCTTTCCCTCCAAAACAAGAAGATGTGCGTGTGTGTGGGTGGTTGTTTTGGGGGGAGTTGCCTCACGGACCCAGAAAAAACACATGTTCACCTTTTAGGGCCATGACTAATGGATCAAGGGGAAACTGAAAGGTCAAATCCCACCAAATCGGCCGATCCGGACGCCTCTGTCAGGCAGCTTTCAATCTTCTTCGGGTCCACCTGAAAGGGCAAGGCCGGGCCAGACAAAGTTGCCAGGCGTCGATGAGAACGAACCCTAACTCTGGCCTCATTGTTTTACAAAAGTCACCGCAGTTAAAGGCAACAACCCCAGCGCACCTCCAGAAACGACTGCCCCGCAACTTGGATAGTCTCCACCTATGTCCAACCAAACGAACTGAAAACAGGACACCTGTCATTGAGAGTATTCCCATAACAATTCGTAGCCATACCAAATACAGGGTCAAAATCATGACCGCAACTCCCAAAAAGCGCGAATTGGTCATGGTTCCCTTGGAAGGACCTATAGTCTACCCAGGGTTTGTAACCAGCCCTTCTGGAGGTTCGGGTTACAAACTGCATTACAAGCTTGTAGTGGTCCTTTTCTCCAGCATCCATACTGGACATGTCCCTGAATCCAGGAAAAAATGGGGTGCAATGACTATGGGGGCACTACCTAAACACCTCATGAACCCAGCCATCCTGGGCGCCCTGCGTGCCCATTGTAAAGGGACAGCGCGAAGTCTAGCAAGTTGCGGTCCTCACCTCAGCGCACGTCCCCAAGCCACTTGGATGTGTGCCTGAGGCTACCCCTGGAGTGGATTGAAAGGGAGACCAAAAAGGAAAGCCCCCCCCCCCAAAAAAAAAAAGGCCTACCCTCGTGCAAACTTATGGAAGGAACCCCAAAAAAGCATCCCCGAATATGATGCTCCTCCAGAATTGGTGTTTGTTTATGTTGGTCCGTAGGGGCACAAAAGTGTCAAAGTGTCTCCAATTTGCCCTTGGGGCACATACATTTTGAGACCCTCGCACCGTTGTGTACAGAACTTGGTTGCCAATGCTGACTTCGGATTAATCCGAGGAAGCTCGTCAGCGGGCCCTCCTATAGACAATTCCCCGGTCAAAAGACAACTCCCACGGACTTGATGAGGGGGCACCGGGAAATCATGTCTTTCCAATCAGGAATCCTTGGAAAGTGCACAAACAAACTTTGCCTTCTGCAGCGGCCCACTAAACATGACCAGAGCCAACTAAAACAAACACATAATTGTTAAAGCACAAGAACGCATTTAAGCACAACAAGAACATAATAAGTACAATAATAATATATAATAGTCTTCACTAAATAGAAAAAAGAACATGGCAAGGACAGAGATGTGTTGTCCAGGGCTGCCTTCCAAATGCGAAATGGTTTTGACCAAGGCAGGAGCTCGAGAGGAGCTCATCCGCAATTTTCCTTGGCGAGCGACTCGCCGGCGGCACGAACCCTCTGCAAAAAGTTTGGGGCGCGTGTGGGCCCAATTCGGAAAAAAATCCGAGCGTTTCAACCAAAAAAGTGTTCAACTCCAAAGATCCGCTACCAAATAGCCATAAATGGAATCTGGGGGGCGGGGTACTGAAAACCCTCATGCCATATTCAGTCATTGAACCACAAACGAAAGACAAACTGAAGTGGGATGGATGCAAGGCAAAGCAACATGGAACCCGAACTGTGTTTCAGTTGGACTTACCCAACAACTGCAACAGAATTGGCACAAAAAGCAGCACCCTTCTGCAGATAAACGGGGGGTCCAAAATGCAATTGCATGAGGACTCAGCATTGATTTTGAACAACCTAGTGTAGGCTTTTTTGGCAGAAGGCTCAGTCACATACCTCCGGTGCCATACATGCACCGGCAGAACGCGGCTAAACTCTTCACAGCAATCTACGCGGGCTCCGTGGTTGCACCCTCAATGGTACAGCAAAACCAAGTGCTAAGAAACTTGAGAAAGGGCAGACCGAAGGCTGGCTTCGGCCAATGCCAACACTGCCTATCTCACCAGGCTTTACACAAGTCCTCACAGGTATCGCCCTTGCCCTCCGTTACTGGCCTCATTTACCATGATCAAAGTCACCCCCTGAGTGGCAGATTCAAGAGGAACCCCCAGAAGGTGTCAAAATAATGACCGATTAGCCAAGGTCGAAGCGTCCGGGCAATGAGCACGACCCCCCCGCACTCCCCCCAGGTCCTCTTCGTATCCCCCAATTGTTTGTGAACCAAACAAATGGTCGAAATGGCAGATCAAAGCAGACAGAAAAGCACAGGCAAGATGTAACTTCCATTTGCTTAAGGCCCCCGGAACAAATAAATATGTGTTTTGTGATAGATTCCCTTTCAACAATGGAAAATAACAGACAGAAATTATTCACAGTCACTTCAGCACATGGCAGTACTTAACGGCAGGTTTCGAAACCAATCCAAGGCCGGACGTGGGTTGCAAAGCGCATTTGGGGACCTACCCAACCACACGGGGGCGGGCATCTCGGGTCATGTTCAGCTTCCCTGCAACTTGTGGTTTGGAGCCCAGTGGTTTGGTTGCTAGGGGGTGGTTTCCCATTAACTCACTTGCTCAAAGGACCTGGAAGTAAAAGGTTAACCTTTTGGACCAAATCAGGGAAACCAAAAGGTCAAAAGGTGGGCTTTGGGCAACTGAGTTGACCCTCCTAGGGATTGAGGTGTAATTGCCTGACATTTAAGAGAGTAAATACGCGTAAAAAAAAAAAAAAACAACATATTACGTGCATGGAGCGTTTGGCACTCTTGGGGCCAAGCACCAGAACCCTCTTGAAGGCTATATGGTTGTGAGTCATGAATTGCCTCGCCTGGGGTTTCCTTCACGGATGCATCCAACAACAACCTGACTCACCCTCTACTTGAAACGCAGGTAACTCTTCGGCATGTCAAAACCTCTAGGGTTGACCATGGACGACATGGGCGTGGGTCACAATTCAACCACCACAAAGCCACAGGTGTTAGTCCTTGTTTCCATTTACCAGGGTTCCATTCTGCTTTGCCAGGGTACATATTTTTGACCCACACTCATATTTTCCGGTCCGTGGCGAAACGCCGAAAGGAAGCAAGCGGGAAGTCAACGGACCTGCCAGGCTTCAGCCGGTCAGAGCTGTGGTCGGACAGGCGTTTCGTCGCCAAATGGCCACGGATGATACCCGCCTTGGCCGAGGTCGGCGGGGATATGGTATCAAGCCCTGACGAACAGGACGTACCAGGGGAAACCGGTCTTTTCAAAATACCCTTAAACAAGTGCGCCTTGTGGCATCCCCTTTGAAACCACATGGGCAAGGCACCCCCCAACCCCCAAACCACAAATACAAACCACCAAATTCGGGTAATCTGACCTTGCGAGCGGGGCAAAGGACAAAGAAGCAACGGAAACCCACCATTTGGGGTGAACCAAAAGGTTTTGAAGGCACACCTGTTGAAACCCAAAGAACGATCAGGGCTCATCGGATTCAGCTTGAGCGTGTGTCCAAATAGGGATTTGGACCCAAGAACTGTGGTGCTTCCTTTTGGTTTCCCTACTCAAAAAGGGCGCCCTCAAAAATCTCGACCAAAATACTGTGGATGGACAAAATCCTGCACCACCCAAGAAACAATGGAGAACCATTGTTCGTTGGTATTTACAGGGGAATCAACATTCCAGGGTTTCTTAGGTGGTGCAGGATTTCGTCCATCCATAGTATCACGCGAAATCAACACTCCACAAACTATCACCTTGGCCTTTGGTAGGGGCTAGGTCCCCAGAAGGTGTTAGAAAGCGATAGGCCGATCGGCAAATACCAAAGCTCCAACTCAGCAGCCTGACGCAAACAACGGCTTCATGGCTTTTTCCCGAGAACACAAGCCGAATGCAACTATCAACTCGCGTAGCTGCCCCTTTACTCGGATCAACCACCCCTTCAAAGCCCCCTGTCCCCTAGCTTCCTAGCAAGGCCTTATTGAGGCCGGTCGTATGAAGCAAGGGGGTCAAGGTTGCAGACCCGTATGTCCAGTTGCATTGTCCCAAACGCCCTTTCATCCCCTCAAGGAGCAGCGCCAATTTCACCCACCTTTTGGTTCTACTGTATGAAGCTGGCGATAGTTGTTTTTGTAGGCCTCATTACAAGCCGCTTGAAACCAGGTAGTAGAACAGAACCACCTACACCCCACACATCGCAAACGACATCGAAGCCCCCTCGAAGAGTGGCCCCGACCAAGTAGAATCCACTACCACAACTGGCCTTCGGGGCTAAAGGCCTTCGGGGCTAAAGGGGGCGCTGCTCAGAAATTTGGGCCGCGCGGCACTTTGTGCAAAGCAGCGGTGGGGCAGTCGTAATCCTGGCTTCCTCGGTAAGTCGACCGAGAGGGGTCGGCGAGGGAACGTGACAGGGGCACAAGACAAAGCGCCTTCCTGTTCCCATTGACTTCGAGGCCCTCAAAAAGCGAATGGGCATGATTCTTCGCTTGCAATCTTTCTGGGTTTAAGTGGGGGTCTGCAAAAAACGCCGATTCTTCTTTCGGGAGCATGGGGAATGTGGGCTGTTTAAGCACCCAATGACCTGGGGAAACCCTGCCATGACAAAGGAGGGCGGGGTGCCTTCCACGCTCTTCCGAGACTGCGACATGTCTGCCATAGGGTATCCTTCTGAGCCCTTCTTGCTGGTGCTCAGGGAATGACCGAGTCCGGGTTTTGGGAATGAACCGGAAGGGGTTTCCCTTAAAGGGGGCTCCATAGGGGATGGTGATGTGGGGGGCTTCCTCATCCATTGCTGAGAACTAGCAGGTTGTTTGCTTGATGCCCACTTCTGCAGCCGGGGCGCCGCAGGATGTCAACAAAACCTCAGCAGGGCGCGCTCGCTCGCTCCGGCAGAATTGCGCCCCATGAAACCCCCGACCTTAGACTTCAACCCGCGAAATGATTCCGCGCCAACTCCAACCATCCGCAAATTGTTCGACTCAGTTGCCCGCCAGGGACCTGGAAGCAACAGGTGATCCCCTTTTGGAACCCCTACAACTCATATGGCCATGGGTCAAAAGCCCGTACCCCCAGTGAACATCCCAATACCCACTAAAATTTGACGATAATGGGAGCACCTACCCCAAAATATGGTACCATTGGTGTCGACCCACGGCCATATGGACCAAAGCAGGGCAACCTCTCAAGGTCCAGAGGTCAGTTTTCGGCAACTGAGCTGGTCGAAGCCAGGGATCCCCAGAATCGGAGCGTGAGCGGATTTTGTTTAGCCCCGAAGTTAGCCATAACATAAGCAGCTTAAGGATTGCAGGTTGAGCAACCCGCCACCCTTGAGGATTGCAGGTTGTCAGGTTGTGCGCAATCTGCAACCAACCTAGTTGAGTTTTGGGATACACCCAACCTGTCTAACCAAGTGTGCTGGTGGTATGGTAAGGCATCATTTGCCCCCAACAGGGATGTTAATCCTACCTGGCTTCTATTGCCAGAAAAGGGCCACCACATGTTCAGGTTTGGCTTTTGGTAGCTTGAGAACTTGCAAGTAGACTAAGAACACGGGCGTGTCTCTGGAATCCTCGTGTTGGGTGCATCCGATGAAATGTCTTCACCCGGGCTCCAGCCGAGCAAAGCTGGCTCGGGTTTCGCGAAGCTGCTTCCAATCTCAGTGTCAAACGCAAAGTCTGGGCCAGACTTCGGCACATGTTAAGTCTGGGCCGCTGCTACCTAACCAAACCTAAAACGGCCCTTTATGCTCAGGGGTCGTTTCAAGAAATCCTCCGACTGCTTTGGTTTCGATTGAGGCGACAAAAAATCTGAGGCGAGCGCTGTTGGAAGATCGGCCGTAGCCGCACCCCCGCCTCGTTTTCAACTTTTTCTCCCCAGCTGAAAGCTTTGGGGCTCAGCCCAAATAGGCTCCGGGGTGGTCCAGAAGGTTCCACGAGGGTTCCACGAGGGTTCCACCAGGGTTCCACCAGGGTTCCACCAGGGTTCCACCGTTCCACGAGGTTCGGCGAGGGTTGCGGGGTGGTGCGAGCACTAACAAGAGCACCGCATGCTGTTGGGGAGCTTATTTCCAATCGCGTTTGGTGTTTCGAACGCGGCTCGTTTTGCTCGTTCTCAACGCCTGGTCAGGGGAAACAAGGGAAAGTGAACCCTCGCCTGAGTAAACCCATATGGGCACGGGTTCCCACTAAGGGGACCACTAAAAAACCAACTTACTCCCCTCGAG